GGAACAGGGAGCGGGGAAGGGGGGAGTGGTACAGGTACGTGAGTCGAGGATGATGATATACGAGCAGGAACAGAGAGCGGGGAAGGGGGGAGTGGTACAGGTACGTGAGCCGAGGATGATGATATACGAGCAGGAACAGAGAGCGGGGAAGGGGGGAGTGGTACAGGTACGTGAGTCGAGGCAGTTGATACGCAGGGAAGGATAGCGAGAGAGAGAGAGAGAGAGAGAGAGAGAGAAAGAGAGAGAGGGAAAGAAAGAAATAGAGGAGCATGTGTATGAATGAGAGAGACAGAGACAGACTGACAGACAGATAAATATATAGATCGAGAGAGACAGAGAGATAGAGAAAGAGAGACAGAGAGCGAGAGAGAGAGATAGACATGGAGAGGCTTTAAAACAATTGATGCTACCTTATCTCTACGTTCGCTACGTTTGTAGTAGCTTCCGAGCCGTGTTACCGTATGTTCGTCACATCGTTAGCACCGCGTGCCGTAATGGCTTCTTCTGCTGCAGGGCCTGCTGATGCAGAGGCAGCAGGAGCGCAGGCCGGAGCAGGAGAAGATTGAGAAGCAGCGGCAGATGCCGTTCCACCAGCACATCAACCTAGAGCTGCTGGAGTGCGTCTACCTGGTGTCGGCCATGTTGCTGGAAATTCCCTACATGGCAGGTGCGCCAGCCGCGGCTTGAAAGTGTAGGCTAGAGAGTCTCTAACTGAAAACTCTTGCCTTACTGTTGAAAATGGTTGCAAAGATGATGAAACCTATTAATAATATGAGTAATTATGATAATAATAATAATAATAATAATAATAAGCTATAAAAGACATACAAAGCTAGTAAACTATAGGGCCAACCTTAAGCTTGTTTGCATTTTAAACTATAAATCGTTCTTTTTTGTTGTAGCTCACGAATTCGATCCGAGGAGAAGGATGATTAGCAAAAGTTTTCATCATCAGTTAAAAATAGCAGACAGACAAACCCTTACTGGTAAGTACACTGTTGTGTTGCTGATTTATTACTTGTCTTTACTATAATAGATTACTCTCATTAGCACATATTGATAATTAGGTGTGATAGTATAGTTTAACAAAATGTGAGGCGACAGTGAAGAATGTGGATTCATTTGCCATTTTATATAACCATGACAGGACCATCTTGTGGTTATTTCTATATTGGAGTAATCTGTAATATGCCCACTAATAGTTGAGACCTAATTTATCTAGATTTTATCTAGACTTGTTTAATAGATGAGTAATTTTGAGGGTTAGAGATCTAGATGCGGTGACTTGCATTTAGGCGTTCGTTTTTTGTGCACCGCGATGATTTAGTTTTGCATGTTCTTGTTCGTAGTCGTTGAATGTTTGTGTTTGTTTCTAATCAGGCCCACCGGAGTCAATGCGCGAGCACGTAGTGGCGGCGTCGAAGGCAATGAAAGTTGGTGACTGGCTACGCTGTAAGAACTTCATTCTAAGCGAGAAAATGGACACAAAGGTTTGTTGCACGTCCCCTCCCTTTCCCGAGTGTCAGCTTCACCAGATATTTCTATAGTCATGTGCTGTGATCTTTCTAAATACTTCAAATGTACGTAATGTCGTAAAATGCTGAATTATCTTCGGCGGTGAGTCATGGCTTGTGCTGATAAAATGGAGGTATACGATAAAGCCTTCATGAGCCAAGTGACACTCGAGTTTTCGCTCAGTTCTTGTGCATGTGACATGTCAAGTGAAATTCATACAAGTACTACTATATAATATATAGAAGATATCATTGTCGGCTTTTGTCGCCATAGCCTCTTTGCTGCCTGGCTTTTCAATCATGTACAGCTGTACATATTTCATTCACTTCATCCCCTGGCATGAGTCATCCATCACTCTCCCGTCTTCTCACTCCCATTCTACTCTCACAGCCTGATATACTGATTAAGAAATGAAGACCTAACTAGCCATCCTACTCCCACAGCTTCATGTCCTGATTAAGAAACCTAACTAACCATCCTACTCCCACAGCTTCATGTCCGATTAAGAAACCTATCTAGCCATCCTACTCCCACAGCCTCATGTTCTGATTAAGAAACGAAGACCTAACTAACCATCCTACTCTCGCTAACGTGAGCGCCCATGCACTCCAACTCACCCCGCCCTCATGCACACACACTCTCTTGCATTATCCTCCATCACTCTCCCCTCTTCCCCCTCCCATCCGACTCTTACAGCCTCATGTCCTGCCTATGAAACGAAGACCTAACCAACCATCCTACTCTCCTCCACTCACACCGGTCGCCCTCACACGTGCGCTCTGACTGCCGCAGGTGTGGAATCTGTTTCCTGAGAAGGATAAGGTGCGCGAGATGATCCAGCACAAGATCCAGGAGGAGTCGCTTCGCACGTACCTGTTCACGTACAGCAGCGTCTACAACTCGCTGAGCCTCGCCACGCTTGCTGAGCAGTTCCAGATGGAGCGCAGCCTCGTGCACAGCATCATCAGCAAGATGATCATCAACGAGGAGCTGATGGTAGGTGGCGCTGCTGTCGCGGTGGCGCTGCCGTCGCTGCTGCCGCCCGCGATTGCGACACTATTTCGTGTGTGTGCGTGTGCGTGTGTGTGTGCATGTGTGTGTGTGTGCGTGTGTGCGTGTGTGTGTATGTATGTGTGCGTGTGTGTGTGCGCGTGCGGGCGTGCGTGCGGGCGTGTGTGTGTGCGTGCGTGCGTGAGTGTCTCTGTGTGTGTGTGTGTGTGCGTGTGTGCGTGTGTGTGTATGTATGTG